ACAGGATGTATTGGTTGCTTGGTGTGTCAACAGGAGAGAAAGACATATTTTGTTTTCAGGTGGACTTACCGCCACAATTGGGCCCCAAATCTCCAGTGCTAAGCAAAGGCAGAGTTTGCCCCCTTTTACGACTTTGCTTGTCCCGGTTGTTAAGTGAACCACAGCACGCTTGATGGCAATAGCAATAACACTTAAGATTTATATGCCGCTTCATAGATCTTTACAGCCCTCTCTAAGTGGTTTACAGTCAGCCTATTTCTCCCCCACACACACACACATACACACCTCCCAACAATCTGGCTCCTCATTTTACTGACCTCGGAAGGATGGAAGGCTGAGTCAACCTTGAGCAAGTCAGGATCGAACTGCTGGCAGCGGGCAGAGTTAACCTGCAGTGCTGCATTCTAACCACTGCGCCCCCCCCCAGGGCTCTTGATAAGCGATTCTGGCTTCCCCGTTGCTTAGGTGATTGCATGACTCTGGGACAGGGGTCTTCAAACTTGGCCCTTTGATGACTTGTGGACTTCAACTCCCAGCATTCCTCAGGAATTCCTGAGGAATTCTGGGAGTTGAAGTCCACAAGTCATCAAAGGGCCACGTTTGAAGACCCCAGGATGTTTGTAGCCTACTCTATTGTGAATCAATTTCAGATTAGGACACACACCCCTCCTTTTTTTTTCTTTTTCTTTTTACAAAATGTCTCTGCCCCTTACATGACTTGTTTCCACTGAGGGTATCTTAGATACCTCAGGGACGTTTGGTAGAAACCTTACTTTTCCAGTATCTGGTGTCCACCGGTGCATTGCCCATAAATCTACACCTTCCTGTCTCAAAAAAACCCAAAAGATCCTCTCTATTTTAATCTTTAATAAAAGCTACAGTGCTCTGGGTAATCCCATTGTTGCCGGTTAATACGCCCAGATTAATGCACAGAAATAACAAAAATTATCTCTTGATCCCCTCTGAACAGGATGTGAATTGAGCCTAGGAGGGGGGTTATGGCTAACAATGACTGTTATTTCCTCAGATTTCCAATTTGGGAAGCCTCGGGAACAAAGGATCTGTCTGTGTGGCTTGTGGAGCAATCTTTAACGATAATATTTATCTCAAATGCTTTCTCCGAACGGGAAGTGGGCTTTTGGTTGGGGACTTTTCATTATTCCTTCCTTAGGATGGCCTTTGTAATGAGGGAATTGCAAATAAATAAAACTGAAATGGCTTCTTAATCGTAAGGGGCAGATACCTCAGCCCAATAAACAGCCTTCCCTATCTCAGCCTCTCCTCTCCAGACAGGCTGGGACTACAAATACCATAGTGTCTGGCCAGTCAGCTCCAGAAAACGGTTACATCCAACTACCTAACCCTTATCTCCAGTTGCCAAAGTCTTCCCAGTTGCTTTAAGGGCAAGGAAAATGATGACCTTCTAGGCTGGAAACGGTGGGAAGCCTGACGCATAGAATCTATCTCATTTCCCCCGCAACGTCTCATTAAAGCAGCTGTATCTGGAAGATAAAATGGCTGCTTTAATGAGCCATGGAAGATTTGTATCAACAATCCCATAACTTCTGAATCCCTTCCTCCAAATCACATCTGAAGCATCGCATCCGGGGAAGGATGCTGAATCTGGAAAGGGTTGAATGCATTTGGAAATCTGGGTTAGCCTTTAAGGACTGGGGTGTAAGCTTGCGTGTAACTACAGTAATCATGTTTACTTTATGCTTAATTTTCACGAGGAATCCGTTTGGGCCTTTTTTCACGTTCTCCCGCAACCTCGTGAAGCTAAGAAGGCAAATTCCATGTGCAAGACCAGGAATTGCTGGAACTGGTTTGTTCATCTTGGCTAACTTGGTGAACCCGCTCTTACGGCCAACCCTCTTAGTTTTAAATTGCCGAGTCTCGAACCTAACCTGGGATCCATTTTTTTTTATTCCCACAGTTCTCCTTGTGTTTTATTTTGGCGGTCTTTCTTTCATGGCGACATTTCCCTGAGGGATCTTTGGGCTCAAGGCAAATAAACCACATTTAGCTTTTCATTGGTAATGCGTGTCTTCTCCTTCTTTTAAAAAAAAAAAAAAATCAGCCCAGCTGCAGGACTTCCTTTACATGTGCTGGTCAGCAGCTGTTTTCTTGACTTTCTCTCCCCGCTGTCTTTCTTGTTGGCCAAATTTCCCCCAGATGTTCTGGCTGTAAGCAGATGGGGAGGTCCCCGGCATTTCCCCACTCCGTCTTGTCAAGACGACTTCGTCAAGCGCTGGATGAAATCTTTGTGACCCAAGCGACAGCCTTCCCGAACCGTGGCACGTCAGTCTAATTTCTGAAACTTTTCAGCCCGTTTCCTCCGATCCGTTCCAATTTCGTTCTTCAGTCTTCTGCGGTCCCGCTCGATTCTCATCATAGCCAGGCCGGTTCCCCCCATTTGCCTTTTTTTATTTCGGCATTTGTCATAAAATAAAAGCAAATTATTCCCATCTCCAGAAACGATCTAGACTAATTAGTCGTCTAACCCAATAATTAGCTTTTTGATTCCCTGTCTGTTTTCCTACATTATTGTTAAGTTTTCTCCCCACTCTTTTAAGTTGCGGTTGGGCTTGTTTGTTTGTTTTTTCTTCTTCTTCACACCATTACAGATTAAAACGAGCCACATTTGCAGTTGATGGTGCGTATTTGTCCCCCCCCCCATTTGTTTATTATTATTTTTTTTCTCTCCAAGAGGAAGAATGGGGGGAAACTGCAGTAGAAAAACTACTTCACAAGCAGCCATAAACGCAAAGATAAATTAAGGAAATTGAATGAGCCACACTTGGAATGTGGCAATGAAGACTTAATACGCCCGTCGCTTAAGGTTAAATTGCAGCAGTGTGAAAAATTATGTGTTTGCCCGCCCTGTCCCCCACGAATCCAAAATTCAGGGGTAGCGCTCGTTTGCTGAAATATTTTCCTAAGGTTTCCAGGAATCCTTTTCATAGTGAAGGTGATTCAAACAGTGAAGAGAGCAGAATTGATCTCTGATAAGGGATGCTTTAAAAAAAAAAATTGGATATGTTTAGCTCGGAGGAGAGAAAACAAGAGGGGACAGGCCAGACTGTAGATACGTAAAAGGTAGTCCAGCTATAAATAAATTAGGCCAAATTTTGGCACGGATCTACCAAATCTTACATGTTATGTTATGTTAATTTAATTTGTATACCGCCCTTCTCCCATAGGACTCAGGGCGGTTCACAGCATATTAAAAAACAAATACTATATACAAAATACAAAGATACAGAAATACAAAAAATATAAACCCCAATAAAAGCCGAATTAAAAACCAAATATTGCCAGCTGTGTTTCCGAATTAAAATTACTTTTAAAATCANCGCTTGCTGGAAAAGCCATGTCTTGAGGGCGCGGCGGAAAGTAAGGAGATCCGGAATCATCCGGATCTCGGGGGGTAGTTTGTTCCAGAGGGTGGGGGCACCCACAGAGAAGGCCCTCCCCCTGGGGGTCGCCAGCCTACATTGCTTGGCCGACGGCACCCTGAGGAGGCCCGCTCTGTGGGAGCGTACCGGTCTATGGTGGCTCACGGCCCTCTAAAAAGGAGCGGGTGAATTCATTTGATTGCATTTGTCTCCGCATGGAGCTGTATTTCAATAGAGTTGCTTCCCAGTCAGCAGTTTAATAACTTCCCTTTTCTGTCCCGTTAACGGTTCAGTCAAACGTTTTGGGAGCCTCTGGCAACCGGTCTACCACATCTCACGGGGAGGGAGTCACCTGTCCTTCTGATCCAATCTAGAGTCGGTTACCGGGCTTTGTACAACTAAACCTTTGGTCCCGGTGACCATCTCAGATTGGATCCTGCAACATTATCCTGGGATACATATATTCACCTTTATTCATGAGTAGAAACAGGAAATTTTGGGAAGGGTCCTTTCGGATGTCATTGGAGGATGAGCATTTTTATTTATATATGAGGATGAGAGAGAGAGAGAGAGAGAGAGAGAGAGAGAGAGAGAGAGATGATGGGTAGGTAGGTACATAGATGGTAGGTAGGTAGATAGAAAGCGAGATAGATAGATAGATAGAGAGATGATAGATAGATAGATAGATAGATAGATAGATAGATAGATAGATAGATAGATAGATAGATAGATAGATAGATAGATAGATAGATAGATAGGTGATAGAGAGATGATTGATAGATCGATGATAGAGAGAGAGATGGATGATGGGTAGGTAGATACATAGATGGTAGGTAGGTAGGTAGAGAGCGAGATAGATACAGAGATAGATGATAAGATAGATGAATGGATGGATGGATGGATGATAGGTAGGTAGGTATAGATGATAGAGATGGTAGGTAGGTAGGTAGGTAGGTAGATAGATAGATAGATAGATAGATAGATAGATAGATAGATAGATAGATAGATAGATAGATAGATAGATAGATAGATAGATAGATAGATAGATAGATAGATAGATAGAGATGATTGATAGATCGATGAGAGAGAGAGAGAGATGGATGATGGGTAGGTAGATACATAGATGGTAGGTAGGTTAGGTAGGTAGGTAGGTAGATAGATAGATAGATATGATATGATATGATATGATATGATATGATATGATATGATATGATGATATGATATGTGGACAATACAATATAAGAGATAAAATATTAACTTAAGATAAAACCAGAATAAAATCACCATAATATGGAGCCATGGAACTGCAGTGGGATAGACGTTATAATTCGATATCTAACGAAGCCAACCCTCTAACTGCTTCTGGTGCGGCTGCGATACGTTCTTACCAGGTGCCTTGAAATTTCCTGAGAAGACATTCTTGAACTAAGGATGAGGGTGATGAATGTCTCTCTCTCCCCCCCCCCCCAAAAAAAAAATGTGATTAAGGTGCTAAGTCTCTGTAGAGGAAGCTTAATTTCAGTCCTTGTGAGTTGTCTATATTGGGAAAGAACTTCCGGGAAGCAGAGAAGTTTTCTACAAACCCTTTCCTTTCCTTTCCAGGTCTCACCGATGAGGAAATAGAACTGGCCTTCCAGCAATCGGGCACGCCGAAAGAGGAACCCCAGCCACACAATCTACCCCCACAGTTGGTGCCCAGTCGGTCCACACAGCTCGCATCGTACAGTAAGTAGCATGCCGGAAGCCACAAAGCTGTTTTAATTCTGGGCCTCCTTTGGCCGTCGTATTTTTTTTCTGGAGGGCTAAGTAGAGCCTTTGAGTCTTCTGAGGAGTCCAAATCTTCTTCCTCATTTCCCTTTCTCAAAAGTTAGGGTTCCTTCTTGATTTCCTGTTGCAGGGGGATGCTAGGAAGAGGCGAGAAATCTCCCACCCCTCATTAGTCCCCATACAGGCGTTGTAAAATGAACTATAACTTTGTCCCCTTGCAGAAGCTTGGCTGTTGTCCCTGCTCGGGGAGCTAGAAAGGAAATTAATTAATTGTGTGCAGCAACTCAGTAAAGTTACTCCCTTTTGGATCTGAAAAGTAATTCAAGCCGTCTTCTGCAGCAGGCTGATCCCGAGGCGAGGAAAGAACGGGGGAGCATAGTTTACCTCACAACGTTGTTGTAGAGTCACAGTTACAAATACAAACACACCGACTGCCTCCAGGTAGAAAGACAGGATGTCAGAGAAAAAAACGGCGCACTTAAAATTACTTACGACCACCGTTGACCTCCCAAAATTTCTGTTGTTAAGTGAGACATTGGTTAATGCCCCATTTTGCGACCTTCCTTGCCACAGTTGCTAAGTGGATCACGGCGGTTGATAAGTTAGTAACCAGGTTGGTGAGGGAATCTTGCTTCCCCTGCCAACTTTGCCCGTCGGAAGGTTGCAAAAGGGGATCGCGCGACCCCGGGGGACACTGCGGCCGTCGTAAATACGAACCAGCGGCCGAGCGTCTGAGTTTCGATCCCGGGGAGGCTTCCAAAATTGTAACTGTGAAAAACGGTCCTAAGTCATTTTTTTTCAGGGCCGTTGTGACTTTGAACAGGTCACGAAACGAACTGTGGTAAATCAAGGACTGCCTGCACAACACAAAGAGATTTTTACACCCTGGGATATCTTGCGCCGTCTGAAAAACGATCGCAATGTGTTCCAAAGGAAAGCCGCACCTTTGAACGGGACAAGGAATTGTCTCTTTTTAAAGCATTTTCAAGAAACGTGTCATGGTTCCGACAGGTGAAACTCTTCAAAGAACTTTGAGGCATTGTTTACCTTAAAAGAATCTTTATTTGAGTAGCATAGCATCGGCACTAACATAATCAAATTCCCCTCCCCTGAGCACATAGTATCAAAGCAAAATTCCCCCCTCCAATTAACAGTCATAAATCACATTCCCCAATTAGCTTGAAATGCAGGCTTCTCCTCCAGCTCTCCAGCCCGCCAATTCTTATCATCTCTTATTTCAATAACCTTGGTTCTCACACTAGTTCCAGTATTGTTATGTCTCGCTAAAGTCTCATGCACATTCCTCTCCCCCCCCCAGCATCATCTAACTCTAAAAGTAAAACATAAGAAGAAAAGGGTTGCGTCTCCATCTGTTGTCAAAGCAAAAACATCCGATGTTAGCAGGGTTGACAAAACACTCCTATAGTCTATGAAGTCTCAGAGGTCCCCTGCTTTGTGGAACCAGGAGGATGTTGGGTTGTGGTGTAAATCTGGCAGCTACAAGCGGCTTGTGCTTCTCCCTATAACCTCATCCCTCTTTGGGTGCCGGAGCGGGCTCCAGTTCACCAGCGAATCAGCGAACCGGCACCAGCGTAAAAGTGAATTCTCCTTCACATCTGCCCCCCCCTTTTTTTTTTTGCCAAGAGGTGTCAAAACTCTTTCTTTAAAAAAAAAACCAAAAAACCCACCTCCAACTCCTTGATTTTGATTAATATAGAGAAACAAGACTTGGGCTGACTGATAATAAAACTGATAAATGACAGGCGAATTACTCGTGGCGGTAATTTATTACGTAAAATATCTTTTATTTGACACGCGATTAGTTGGAGGGAGCATCACTCAATCTGACTAGTTGAAACAGGCGCTCCTAAAGTGAACCCCCTTACTCGGAGGAGGGCGAAGGAAAGGAGGAGGAGGAGGAGGCAGGGGAAAGAAAAAAAAAATCTGTTATTGGCATGTGTGAAATACTGTCATCTCCAGAGTGAGGATGGCTTTAAGTATTTAAATGATTTATATGGTCTTTCTCTCCCCCCCTGCCCTAACCCGCTTCATTACATAGAAATTCTGGGGAGTTTCTAAATCTCAAAATAGTTGCTTGCTCCTATAATAATAATAATAATAATATTATTATTATTATTATTATTATTATTATTATTATTATTATTATTATTATTATTATTAAAAAAAAAAGTTGGAAGGCATCAAGCCGGTGACATTTATCCCTTTAAGGATGCAGCCAGGCAAAATTATTCTTTTTGGAATAAAGTTTAGCTCAACCAGGCACCTCCGACGGTATCCCGAGTTGCTGTTTTGATTAGTTTTGGGTTGTTGTTTTTTTTAAAATTTCCCCCCATGGTTGAAACTTTGGAAAGACCCATTTTGCTCTTTCCAGCTTGGAAAGGAGGCCTCGGCGTTGATAAATGGACTTAGAAGATGTCCACAATATATTTTTTTTCAACGTCGGCAGCTGGAAGATGGCGACGCTGGCTGGGGCATTCTGGGAGTTGAAGTCCACCCCTCTCCAAGCTGCCAGCTACGAAAAAACAAAACAAAAAAACCCAACCAACCGCTTGTCTTACAATTAAGTAAGCTTTTTCCTTTTGGGACTTGGAAAACCTGGTGTCGTTGAGTCCCACGTGCTTTTGTGGGTACAAAAATCAGCCTCCCCTCCCACATTTTACCCCTCGGACCAGCAGCCCTGCAGAAGTGGCTTATAGGGCAGCCCCCAGCACCGGATCCAGGGCTACCCACTTGATTCTCCCACCCACCCACCCACCGTTGCAGCCAGCAAAGCAAATGGCAGATTCTCCCCCTCCGCTTCCAATTAGTTCTTTTCTCTCTTTCTCCTCGGCCTCTTTTTTTTATTATTTTATTTTACTTTTTTTTTTTGCCACCCGACAAAATTGTTTCACGCCTCCCGAAAAACCGCGCAAACTGGCATTTCGGCACCTTCTCTTTATAGACTCTCTGAACTTTTCTGAAAGATCATCCCGGTCCCTTTTCATTAATAATGAAAACCAAGGGGCAATAAAATGTTCTTTAGCAGGAGCGTGACGGGAACGGGGTGGGGGGGGAGAGAGAGAGAGAGGGAAGGGGTGAGAGGTCAGAGCGGGGCGGGGCTGGGTGGGAGACCCACCCGGGGTCTTTGGGGGCGCTTCTGGAGGTCACAGCCGTGGAGAACAGGGGAAAGAGCAGCCTAGCAAACCCCCAAATTATTAACCGTCTAAAGATTGTCAAACTTCTGCGACCGTCAGGAGTAACTCCTTCCTTTGAGTTCCCACGACCCCGATTGAGGTAGATGTTAGCAAGGGACGGGAATACCGGTAATCCTCGGCTTACGACCGTAACTGAGACGAAACTTCCATTCGCTAAGCGAGGAAGCATCCAAATTTTGATTATGGGGATACCGCAACGGCCGTCAGCGTGAAAGTTGGCCTTAAATCACATGGGGCTGTTGTCACTTTGCCCGGTCCCTCAACAAATGCTTGTGGGTTTTGTGGGTTGAGGACTAGCTGCACACACACATCCCTTTTCCTTTTTCCCCCCCCACTGGGTCTCCACCCTCCCTGAAGATATTTCTCTCCCTTCTTAAAGGAACGATTTTAAACACTTAAGAAGCTGGGGGAAAGAGACCGTCTCTGCCGCTTTTTGAATTTCTGTGATTTTCCCTTTTGATTTATTTATTTGCTTGCCTGTTGCCCTTCTCAGGTCCCCCAAGCTCCAGATGGAGAGACTATGGTGCCCTGGCAATTATTATGACTGGCATCGCCATCGGTTTCCACCAGCTTTACAAGGTAAGTCTGATTTACTCAGCCACCCTTCGCCCCGGCTTCTCAACCTGGGTTTTTTTTTTCTCCTTTCACCATCCTGCCCAGCAGGCATCAAATGACAGGCCTCTTAGCAAGGCACCTTCACGGGCATTTCCACCCTGTTCCCTTGCCCTCCCTCGCCTGTAAAGACAGAAATCTTTTATTATTGTCTGGGCCAGGAGCCGAGCATCCTCACGTCTAACTCACCTGGTGCCTTCCTGTTCCTGTCAATCATACAGACATTCTTCCCCATATGTCTCTGTATTTATCAGCTGAAGATAGAAGCAGCTATTCTACAAGCCTTTTCTCAAATCCTTTTTTTGGGGTGGGAGGCAACTACTACCTTTAGTTGTGGAGACCTGGGTACCTGTTTGCATGCAGCTCGGTCTTGGGAACACGGGCCACTGGATAAATGCACTGCTGTGTGGTTGTGATAGTGGCGAGGAGCAAAGCTTGTGTCTCTGGGTGTTCAAAGGAGCCCCTTCTCCCCCCTCCCCCCCATTTTCATTCATGAAGTGTTAAGGGCTATGCAAATTCCTACACAGAGCAGAAACCAAATAGCTGTATTATTAAAAGCGCAGAACGTAATTTGCTAGCCCTGGGCACTTCCATTGGTGTGCATCTTTTTTTTAACGGAGCAAACTCCCTTGAAGAATTACCTTTGAAACACTCTTTCTGCATCTGTGCTTTTCATGGAAGGATCTCTCTAGAGCAGGGGTCTTCAAACTCGGCCCTTTGATGACTTGTGGACTTCAATTCCCAGAATTCCTCAGCCAACATGCCTGGCTGAGGAATTCTGGGAGTTGAAGTCCACAAGCAGGGGTCTTCAAACTTGGCCCTTTGATGACTTGTGGACTTCAACTCCCAGAATTCCCCAGCCAGCATGCCTGGCTGAGGAATTCTGGGAGTTGAAGTCCACAAGCAGGGGTCTTCAAACTCGGCCCTTTGGTGACTTGTGGACTTCAACTCCCAGAATTCCCCAGCCAGCATGCCTGGCTGAGGAATTCTGGGAGTTGAAGCCCACAAGCAGGGGTCTTCAAACTTGGCCCTTCGATGACTTGTGGACTTCAACTCCCAGAATTCCTCAGCCAACGTGCCTGGCTGAGGAATTCTGGGAGTTGAAGCCCACAAGCAGGGGTCTTCAAACTTGGCCCTTTGGTGACTTGTGGACTTCAACTCCCAGAATTACCCAGCCTCCACTCACTGCCTCTTTTTAACACGGACCTGGTAGATGGACTAAGACAGATGGAGGTTGCCCTTTGTCTTCGTGCCGAGGTCTCACCTGCGCTAATAATGATGTAGCAAATGATGATCACTTCAAAGGTCTTGGCTACCTTGGAGGTCCCCATGAGGATGGCGGGGACGATGGAGAAGATGTTTGTTGATGAGGAGGGTGCCCTTTCTGGAAAGGAGGAGAACATCTCAAGAAGGTTGAGGAGATTCAACCTGGAGCTCTCTAAAGCAGGGGTCTTCAAACTTGGCCCTTTGATGACTTGTGGACTTCAACTCCCAGAATTCCTCAGCCAGGCGTGCCTGGCTGAGGAATTCTGGGAGTTGAAGTCCACAAGTCATCAAAGGGCCAAGTTTGAAGACCCCTGCTCTAGATGAAGAGCTAAACCGCTCCCTTTCTAAGCTAAATTATCCAAGTATTATTGGTGGGGTGAATGCTTGCCCAAATTCTGACAGAGACCCTAACCAAGAATATATCTTTCTCTGGCTGCCTTTAAAATTGCCTTCAAGTTTATTTCGGAGCTACTCACCCTAGATTTAACATGGTTGAGAAACTAACTCGCTGCGGCTAGTTGCACTTTGCACAAGAGGAGAAACGAAAGCAGAGAAAAAAAAATCTGGG